ACTGATGATTTAAAATTAAATAAAATATTACATAAAATAACTGTTTTTATTTTACACAGTTGTTAAATTATAAATTTCAATATTGCACTTACATTAAATATCAATTTAATAATAAATAACTATAACACGATAATATTAATTTAACATTCAAATAAAAATTTAATTTAATTTTATATAGCGAATATAATTGTTATGTAACAAGTATATGTATAGTGTTCTTGATAATAAAATATTTAAATGTAAATCAAACATTCATTAATTTCTTACAAATTTCAAATATCAACAATTAAAATATCAAATAATACTTGTAGTGTTACAACTATAATGTCAAATATTTATGTCAAATTTTTATCTAAATTTTCACAATTATGTCCAATTGTCAAATTACAAAAGCTGGATTGGAGCTTTGTTTTAGCCAAAAAATATAAGTGGCTACCAAACCTGAAACAAAATATTTTTATTAGCTTATTTATTATTTACATATATTAGCTTATTTATTATTTATATATATTAGCTTATTTATTTTTTATATATATTTGTCTTATTATGTGAAATATTTATTATTAATTCAAATAAAAAATAAAATAATACCTGAATATGCTATATTTTGCTCATATATATTCAGTTGGATCATATATATTCAACGATAAAAATCAAATATCAATCCACTGTAAAAAAAAATTAAAATTATATTAACACATAAAACTATTTAAAATTATTATTTTATCTTTAAAACAAATAAATTTTATATTATCTATATGTATATGACAATGTATTTAATAGGTATATATTATATATTATCAATTGATATTATTTTGTATTTTCAGCAAATATTTTGGCAGTGATATCATTTCTTTTCAAGAATATAGTAACAAATATATTATATAAAAAATATATGAAATGGTAATACACATTTGATCTTAAGTGTAGTTATAAAGAAAATCTCAAAGTCAACTTTAAAATTTTAAATGAAAACCCACATTTTTATTTGATATTTTTCTATACCTTATCTCGAGAGCTTTTCAAAATATTACAAAAAAATATTTTTTTATTAAATACTTTTTTTAGTTATAATATTTTAAACAGTATTTTGACATAAATTACAAAATATCTCGTGAAATGTTTAATTTTGTGTAATTTTAACATTTTATATATACATAATATTATATACATCGTATACTTAATATTTTATGCACATGAGACAAATCAATTAATGTAAATAAAATATAGTTTTTTCTTTAAGACAACTATATATATATAATTTTATTGATCCCATCCTTTTTATACTATATCTTGTATAAATTTTATACAAACTAATTAATATAAATTTTACATAAATTTTTTAAAAACTACATACAATATTAAATTTATATAAAATTTATATACATTGTTCAATACTGGTTTTATATATATAAACTATACACGTACACACGCACGCACGCATGCACGCACGATTTGAAATGGAATACCTCATATATTTACATATAATATATATATATATATATACTTTAAATATATTTAAATTTTCCAATACTCAGCATATGTATTTTAAAGTTATATATTTACATAATCAATTATTAGAATATAACAGTATTTATATTTTTAAATGCGATTTTGTATTTTCTTTAATGATCTTATGATATATTATATTTCAAAATAATTTACCTTATTGTTATTATATCTGTCACTTCATATATTATTGAAACAAATAATTTCTTTGCTGCTCGACGAGAAATTTTCAAGAATTTTTAAGAATTCTTTTAAGGTGTAACGATATCTATAACCTTTTAAGTTGTCACACACAATTAGAGTATGTAGTGTACCTACTATTTATTTTCAAATCAATTGCTACCAATCTTTAAAACTAAAAATTTATTGTGCAATAAGTTGACATGTTCAGTTGATATTACATTTGTCGTAGAATAAATTTTTCAAACGTATTAATTGGCTGTAGCATAGAAAAATTTTCGAATCTAGACATTTTATTGGTCCATCAGCACATGCATAATAAAATTCAACCAATCAAATTCTTTATACACTTACATTATATGTCATGCAAAAGTGTGTGCGGCGGCCTTTAATGCTATCGCACACAAATTGCATAAACTGCATATGCATAGCATAAGACCTTATGGACCAATGAACATCGAGCATGTGATTCAATGCTTGATGCTCATTGGTCCATAAGGTCTTATGCTATGCATATGCAGCTTATGTAATTTGTGTGCGATATCCTTTAGTCCTAATAACGATGGTTGCTATGTAACATCCCATACAGCACAGATTATTGCAATTATATTGCAGCAACGTTGCAATGTTGCAAGTTGCAATGCAACATTATAAAGACATTGCAGAGATATAGGTGCACAAAATTCCAGCACACTTGTAGCAACATGACATTAATATTTCGGAAATATTGCATGTAATCCAAATTCTATAATTTATATATTGTAATATATATACATGTACCCAGCAAACACCAAATTACAGCTATATAATTGTTAGTTGTAATTCCCACTCAAAAATGGAAAATTACAACTAACAATTATATAACTGTAACTTGGTATTTGCTGGGTATAATACTGTAATAAAATAATTTTTTGCAATATTGTACAATAAAAGATGTTAACGATAATCAATAATTTTATTAAATCATTGGCTTAAATTTCTGCGCCGAACGCTCTGCGCAATACATGTGTGCGTGTATAGTAGGCGCCGGCTTCGCTACGTAGTAGACGTAGACCGTTGCAACTCGTGGTTATCACGTGTACAGTAACTCGCATTGACTTGTTTTGCTGTGTAAAGGAAAAGGTAAGCATTTTTTTGATAATACTATGTTTAATTATAACGATATACTATAAAGTTAAAAATCTATATTTCGTAATTATAAAAGAGAATTACTTGTCCCAAAGTTAATAAGAACCTATAACCTCTATAACCTCAAGGAGACTGAGACTGATTGGGAAAGTAAAAACTATATATTTATTTATGATATATCTTCGTATATTTTTTAAGTGAATATTTTTGCTCTATTTAATTTTCTATTTTGCTATGGGATATATGTACATATCTCTATGATACAGTAATATGAAACTATAGATACTTTAGAGGTAAATATAGGCAGCAGTTAAAATAAATAATTATAATACATAAAAAGTAATATAATATATATAAATCTGTAGCTAGTGCTTTATGTGTGTATATTTTATATTATCATTTCTTACTTGTGATGAGTGTTTCAACTATTTATACAGTTCGCACTGTGCATATACATTTGTCGCATTGCAGATAATATGTATTTGTATATTGTGAAATAGAAAACCAGAAAGAAAGCAAGAAATATTGAAATAAGAAAATATATAAAGGCACATAATAGATAAATATAATTATTACTGTTCTAATCAAGTTGAAATTTTGAGAGGATATATGTGATTTTGTCTCTAGAATAAGCATATGTTTTTGTATTATGTGTAATAGTATAAACAACACATTATATACAAATAAATATAGGCAAATTAATCTGTTTTTATATTAAAATATTTTTACTATATTGTTTCAGAGAATATTACTAAACATTTTGGCAAGGAGGATTCTACGTATAATATCTTGAGTAATACGTACATACTTTTGATATATTTATGTAGGTGAGGTTTTATGTAAGTATATGAATTTTAATATTATTTTATTTTTACAGATCCTTAACAGGAAAGGAAAATCAGCCTCGTTAAGTTTATAATATTTATAATGCTCTTTCTAAGTTTTTTTATGTTCAATGATTTACTTTATTTGTTTTAACATAATTCCTTATCTTTATTTTTAAGTTCTCTTAACTGAAAACAAACTATGTTTTAAGGCTCAAATGTTATGTTTGGAATTATATAGTTTATGGTTCAAACTCTACGTCGTTACTATCTTTAAGTTTCTTTATAGCTAGTGGGCAATTAATGCTAGCCCATACGCCAAATTTAAAATTATCTTTAAGTTTCGATTAATCGATTGTGATTATATTTATGATTATATAATCAACTGTGATTAATATTTATTTATTGTGATTATATATAATCGACTGTGATTATATTTATTTGTGATTACATTGCAATAAACAAAAATATAGATAACATTTAACTACAACGTATTTTCATTAATGATTTATTTACATTTATATACCTGTATATGCAACATTAGTTTATGGTTGCAATAACAATGCATTATTGCAAACTCATAACATTGCAATATTGTTGTAATATTTTGTTGCAATCTTCCAAAAAGCGGACATTTTAACATTGCTGCAATTCAACAGCAATGATGTAGCAACATTTTGCAGTGAATTTACAATATTGCAATATTGCGGTGAAAGATTGTTGTAATGTTTTTGCAATCTATCGGTGCTGTATGGGATTGTATCATGGTAATGTCATTACGCATATATTTTAACATGTACATCGCTACGTAATGATGGTAACATCATCGTTAAAAGTAACAGACATCGTATAATTCATTTAGTATTATTAATTGTGCATAAAATTGAAATATTATTATAATTATTATATAAATTTGATTCTTTGTGATTTATTAAACTAAACGGTAAATATATATGAAGTTATATGAATAATTTATTTATACTAATTACAATTATATAACTTATAATTAAATATGTGCTTAAATCTATCTTACAATTAAAATATTGTATACATATATTGTATATTTCGTCTTATAGTCACTTAATTATGATATTTCAAAAAAATTTTCGCTAAATATTTGTTACATATATTAATTACAACTTATATTAATTATTTACAACTTATATTAATTACAACTAAACATTTATATATTTGCTAATATAAACTATTACAAAAAATTATTTTACAATTATTTATATTCCAATTGATTTTTGTTAAAAATATTTATATTATTTGTCTTAATAATAATATATTCTTATAAATATATATTCTTACTATATAATATTAAATTTTAGTTGCTATTTATATTTTTATTTTAAAATTGCGTGTGTACGTTACATTGAAATATTTTTTATTTAAAAATTCTAGGATAAAGCTACAAAGAAAATGGATAGCGAATCAGACATTTATCGTGAGTTGTGTGATAATCCAACATTATATGTTTCACCAAAAAAACTTTTCGAAGTTATGTTACCTAATGATGGTACAGTGTAAGTTTAAAAAATTTTTTAATATTTAATTTTTTATTCATAAATTTTTTATTCATATTTATTACTTATTCTCACTATTTCAGTATTATCGTCAAATTTGTAAAATTCTGTCAGTTTAAGAATAAAACTATATAATAGTAGCATAAAATCATATAAATGTAATTGATGTATAAAAGATACATTTATTAAAAATTTTATTGAACTTTTAATTATTTTTTTATTTTTTTAATAAATATAAAATATTAATTGTTTATATATATATTTTTTTTTAAGGTGTTTTATCAGTATGGTGGAACAAATCGACAGTACAATTGCTGTTAAAACTAAAAATGGTGAAGTTCAACGTTGTCGAGTAATTTTGACAAATAATAAAGACTGGAAGGTTCAAGTTACTATATGGGGCAATAACATAAATCGAGTTATACATAACTTTAAAACATCATTTGTAATAAATTAATACAATTGTCGCTCGTATATTGAAAACAAAGTGATAAATATAAGGCCAACTTATCGAGCTGAATATTCGAGATGTTCAGTCAACTACCATTTATTACATGTATAAATTATAAAACTACAGTCATTATATTAAAACTAACGCAAATTACAATCATTCTATAAACGTTTCGACCGCACGCGGTCTTCTTCAGTATAATTATTGAAATATAAATTCTTACAATTCACATAATATCGAAATTTAATTATAGTTATTCAGAATCAAGAGTTTTTGAGCAATTAACGCGTGTTTCAATCCGTCCTGTCCAACAATGTTCGCCTCGATATGATCCCTGATTTTGTTCAGATCTCGGATAGTTTCATCGTTAATATGCGAGAAATTAACCCGTTCCGTAGGCGCTGCGATTAATAAAAAATTACCGATCAACGTATGTCCAAATTATAATATGTATCCCCTACAATTGGTAGTATGCTTACCTATCATCGTTCTTCTTGACAATTTTGCTACTTATTAACAGTTATTAAGGATGACACATAACAAACCAACAATACAGAAAGACAGCTCATTTTAAACTCTACTTGATCGGAGAGCGTGCGTGTTTATATATGATCTAATATCTATGTTTTACTCGTTAATGTCCTATTTGTCCTATTATTATTTCTTGTTCGCTAATATATCCAAAATATCAAAATACGACTCGCTAAGTAACTCAGTATCTTTGTTTAAATTTAGTCCATTTTTTTGTTCCTTGATATGTAGCATCTCAGAAATGAGTCTTTTATAATAATTATTTTCGTTGTCCATGATCTTAACATTGTCCCAATTAAAAGTATGATGTTCATTTATTATGTGTTCAGAAATTACTGATGATTGGACTCAACGAAACATTCAGTAATTTCTGAACACATAATAAATGAACATCATACTTTTAATTGGGACAATGTTAAGATCATGGACAACGAAAATAATTATTATAAAAGACTCATTTCTGAGATGCTACATATCAAGGAACAAAAAAATGGACTAAATTTAAACAAAGATACTGAGTTACTTAGCGATTCGTATTTTGATATTTTGGATATATTAGCGAACAAGAAATAATAATAGGACAAATAGGACATTAACGAGTAAAACATAGATATTAGATCATATAAAAACACGCACGCTCTCCGATCAAGTAGAGTTTAAAATGAGCTGTCTTTCTGTATTGTTGGTTTGTTATGTGTCATCCTTAATAACTGTTAATAAGTAGCAAAATTGTCAAGAAGAACGATGATAGGTAAGCATACTACCAATTGTAGGGGATACATATTATAATTTGGACATACGTTGATCGGTAATTTTTTATTAATCGCAGCGCCTACGGAACGGGTTAATTTCTCGCATATTAACGATGAAACTATCCGAGATCTGAACAAAATCAGGGATCATATCGAGGCGAACATTGTTGGACAGGACGGATTGAAACACGCGTTAATTGCTCAAAAACTCTTGATTCTGAATAACTATAATTAAATTTCGATATTATGTGAATTGTAAGAATTTATATTTCAATAATTATACTGAAGAAGACCGCGTGCGGTCGAAACGTTTATAGAATGATTGTAATTTGCGTTAGTTTTAATATAATGACTGTAGTTTTATAATTTATACATGTAATAAATGGTAGTTGACTGAACATCTCGAATATTCAGCTCGATAAGTTGGCCTTATATTTATCACTTTGTCATCATTTGTAAGTTTTTATCACAAAATTAAAATCATTTTATTACAAATGTTTACAACATAAATTAAGACATTATTTTATATATTTGTTATTACATAAAATATTAACTGTTCTTAAAAAATCTTTTTATAAATAATTATAAAATGTAAAAATCAACATAATTTATAAATAATCTTACAATAAAATAAATAATTAATTTGTTGATGTCAATTCTATAAAAAATTGAGATAAAATTATTAATAAAAATATTCTATAAAAAATGTTTTTTTTTAATAAAAATTATTAATAATAAAAATTAATAACAAAACTAAAATATGTGATATAATAAAAGGCCAACTTAACGAGCTTATATGCTATTAATTGAAAAATTTATTTATTAATTTACGTCATACTATACAAAAGTTGAGATAAACGTTTCGACTGTACGACAGTCTTTTTCAATATCCTAATAATATGTTAAAAAATTAATTTAGTCATATCGACCTTATTATAAATACAACAATTATGAGATTATATGACGAACGCAGTACAAAATTCATGTTTGTTGGCATGAGTTAGAGCGTCAGATGCTGTTATATTATGTAACGACATTTTTTGTCACGAACATAACACTTTTTTTATAAAAATTATTTCTTTTTACTTAACATAATCACAATGTGTACTTTTTTAAAAAACAAATCGATATCTTGTTTCATCACATATTTTAATTGTATACGAGCCGAAGTATAATTTATAAATTATACATAACAAAACTAAATTTTAACATTTAGAAATAATGTTAATTTACTGTTAGTAAAATATTACAAATAAAAAATCAATTTTATAATTTAAAAAAATTATTTACAATTGATCAATTAATTTTGATAACAAATTTTTTAATGTAAATTTGTTTTTATCTTGAATATAAAAAACTCATATAGGAAAGTTTAAGTTTTATAATAAATAATGTAAAATGACTTTACAAAACACATTTTTTGTTAAAAAATCATTTTCTAATTATAAGTTATAAATATTGTAAAAGAAATTGACTTTTGTTAAATATTTATCTCATTATTTATTTCATTATAAATAATTTTAAAATGTATGTATGTATGTATACATAAAAACATTTCTTATTACAATATTTATAACTTATAATTTTAGAAAATTCTTTTTTAGCAAATATGTTTCAAAGTCATCTTACAACAATTGTTGCAAAATTTAAACTTTTCTATTGATGAACATTTTTAATAATAAATTTCATAATTAATAAGTATTTTATAAAATTAATAATTATATTTTTTATATGTATATAGGTGGTACATGTATCCGGAGCTTTTTCTCAAAAACGTTATTCTAAGAGTTTAGGAAATGTCCCTATGGATTTAACTATCAAAGATTATACAGTTGTGAATGTCATTGGAAAAATTCGAGAATATGAGGAAACTAAAATTTATGAACCAGTTACTATTCAAAACATTTTAAATTCTAAAACTCAATATGGTAATTATACATATACTCTTTATTTGAAATTATATACGTATATATACATACATGAAGTTTGAATTAATATATTTCCACCAAGTTTTTTATTAATTTCACGATATAAAATCAAGTTTTTTTTATTAATTTTACAATATAATAAAAATTTTTCTCATAAAAATAAATTAATAAAAATTAATTTTTGGCAATAAAGTAACTATTTAAATTTCATCTATACCTGATAGAATCCTTTCAATTTATACACATACACACACACACGCACACGCACACGCGCGCGCACACACACACACACACGCACGCACACGCACACGCACACGTACTTACGAGTATGCGCGCGCGCGCGCGCACTTATACGCACACTTATACACACATATACATGTTTATATATATATATATAACATGTGTATGTGTGTATAAGTGTGCGTGTGCGCGCGCGCATACTCGTAAGTACGTGTGCGTGTGATTTATTTAGTTACACCCTGTATATGTATATATATATATATATATATATATATATATACTGGGTGTAACTAAATAAACATATATGACATATAATACCGAATTCTCTGGCCAATTTGGAAATCATTTTTCCTCAACGAAAATGTTGAGAAGTCGATAATTTTCGAGTTAAAGCGATTGAAAAAAACGAGTTTCTCGCAAACTAAACTTTGTAGAGTTAAATGGTTAACATAATTATATTCTTCAGTTAATTTCAAGTGGAGTTTACTTTAATAAAATTTTAATTTAAAGCTTAGTTACAAAGATATATACCCATATAGCAAAAAATGTCACAGTGATGTCACAAAGACATTGCTCTGTGACGATAAAATATGTCAAAATAAAATCACAGTGATGTCATAGTGACGTGCGAATGTCCGCTTCGTAACAGATGTGATGTCATCATGACATCATTGTGATAAGAAATGGAATGTTATAGCGATGTAATTTATACAGATGTGATATCACTATGACATCATTGTGATAGGAATGGTATGTTACAGTGATGTAATTTATACAGATGTGATGTCATTATGACATCATTGTAATAGAAAATAGAATGTTATAGTGATATAATTTATACGTCATAAAAGAGTTTTATATAAGAGAGACAAAGATTGGTTTTAATACGAGTAAAAGTACCAATATTTAAAATTAAATTCATAGCAGTGCTATAGCAGTGCTAAAAGGAGAGATAAACGTTCAATACAAGTTTACCGAGCATTTATCTCTTTTTAGTGCTGCTATAAAATATGTTTTTCATTAATTTTAAAGATTATTACTTTTTACTCGTGTTACAATCAACCCTTGTCTCCTCTACGTTTTTCTTTCAAATAAATGTAATTTATTTAATTACATTTTTATTTTTTAAATAATACATATATACGTTTCAAAAAATATAAGCCATATTTTATCATCCGTATCGATACCGTGTGAAATTCGAGATTTGTTGCGGTTAGGAGAAAACTTCTGTCTGCCAGTATTTGACAAAGATAAAACCACCATAGAGTTGTTGAAAAATATAGAACAAAATATTTTTAAACTCCCTGTGGAAAAACGATCTGCAGTCAGAAATAGAGCCTTTCCCATAATAAATAAATTCCATATTTCCATGTCTGGAAAAGCTCACACAAAAAATAGTTTTTGTAAGGCTTACAAATTGACGGGTAAATTCATCCAAGATAATCCCGATATTTTATTTATGAAGGCGGATAAGGGTAATATCACGGTTGCGATGAACAGAGATATGTACATGGACAAAATGTGTGATTTGCTGGCTGACCGGGATACTTATACTGTTGTTAAAAAAGATCCGACTAGGAACCTAATTAATCAATTACACGGGATTTTAAATAGATGGAAAATGAAGAATTACATTTCTTCAACAACATATAAATCCCTGAACTGCACGGACGGGGTTTTACCGAGAGCGTATGGTCTGCCGAAGGTGCATAAACCGAATTGCCCTTTACGTGTCATCGTGTCATCTAGGAATACACCTCTTTATTACTTGGCAAAATTTTTACATAAGATAATACATAAGGCAATTCCGAAACCTGATTCGGCTATTTCTGATAGTTTCCAATTAGTGAACAAATTAAATGGTTTATGTGTGGATAGTGATGTGAAGCTAGTTTCACTAGATGTTGCATCATTGTTCACCAACGTACCATTGGATATGGCTATCGATAGTTTAATTAACAGATGGGGGTATATTGAAAAAGAGTGTATTATTCCACGAGATGAATTTTTATTGGCAATTCGTTTTATTATGAATTCGACTTATTTTATGTTTAATAATGTATGTTATCAACAGACTTTTGGCACGCCTATGGGTTCCCCTCTCTCACCGATCATTGCGGATATCACGTTGCAAGATTTGGAGAATAGAGCGATTGCTGCGATTCCAATGTCATTTCCATTTTATTTTAGATATGTTGACGATATCGCGTTGGCGGCCCCTCCCTCCATGCTTAAAATTGTTTTAAACACTTTCAATTCTTTCCATCCTAGATTGCAGTTCACCATGGAGGAGGGGGTTGACAACCGATTGAATTTTTTAGACGTCACTATTATTATAAATAATGGGAGCATTGAGTTTGATTTGTTTCATAAGCCGACGTATTCAGGCAGATATTTAAATTTTGAGTCGCAGCATCCTCTCTGCCATAAAAAAGGCACCATTATCAGCCTCATAGATAGAGTTTTTTGGCTATCTCATCCGAAATTCCATAAAGATAATTTTGAGTCTATGATTGGAGTTCTTTTGTCTAATAATTATCCTCTCAAATTGATATTTCAAACATTACAAGCGCGGTTAAAAAAGTTGTTCTTCCGGTACAATAATAAGTTGCATAACAATAGAGCAAATATATGCAATGACAAGATTCCAACGCAGAAAAAAGTTTCGTACTTTAATATTCCGTATATCAATAATGTATCGAAGAGAATCGAGGACATTACACGTGATTTGGATGTCATTCCATCCTATACAGCAATTAACAGTCTCCGTAAATTCATCAAAGTACACAAGGATAAGTTACCAAGGGAACTCCATAATAATGTAGTTTATAAAATTGATTGTATGGATTGTGATGCGTCGTATGTAGGGCAGACGGGTAGATTGTTGAAAACTAGGATGAAAGAACATCGCAGCAACATAAAAAGAAACGCGTCACAATTATCAGTCATATCGGAACATAGATTATTGAACCATGAATTTAATTGGGAGGATGTAAAAATCTTGGACGAGGAGCCTTTTTTAGGTAAACGTTTGATATCCGAAATGATCCACATAAAGCGTCAGAAGAATAGTTTAAATTTACATAGCGACACCGACAAATTAAACGAGAATTTTGATCTGTTAATCGAAAAATTTACCAAAATCTAGCTTTGTGACTATACATAACCGGATTTTTTCGTTAGACCTTTGACATGAGTGCCGATAAGTATTATTTGTTTTTATATTTATTTTCATATTTTATTTTTATATTTGTTTTTTTTGCGTATATATGTATCGACTGTGTCGAGGTAGAATACCGCACAGTCGTTAGAGTGATGTGTCACGTGTAGCATCGTCTTCTCTCTGTTTTTGCTGTCGGGGTGAGTGTTCTTCCCGGTTTTTAATTTATAATTCTTGTGGATCTTATACGTTTAATTTATACTATGTTGATTAGTGTTGGTAAGGGAGTCACTGCTCTGCTTCCTTCCTGACGATGGTCACCGTTAGGGAGACACTCCGACGGCCGGACGGTTTGAATAGGGAGGAGAATGATATTTAATTTATTTGCGGATTGTATGTATACGAGTTTTATAATTTTCTGATTGTACCGATTATCTTTTATTTTTGTTTCTTTGTATTTTGCAGCTACTGAAGAAGACCCGAAGTGGGTCGAAACGTTTAGAATTTAATAAATGAGTTTGATTTGAGATCTCATTTTAATTTATTAATTTTGTGCATGTCATCCGCACAGGCTCCGATTGCCGTCGAGAATTTATTTTTATTGTAACACAATAATTCGAGCCGAGATTAACAGTTTTTTATATTAAATAAGCCATATTATTATATATGTACGTGTGTGTGGGTGTGTAACTATCATTTAATACACATTCACGTTAAATCACATCATTTAATCATATTTAATAACTATATCACTAACATATATAATTAATACTTATAATAAATCATTTTTAAAGTAATTTTTTTTAAATTCTAGTTATCACTTTATCAGAATTATGAAAAAAAATTGATACAATTGTTAGAAAACTTAAATGTGCATAACTTTTTAATATATAGGCATTAATAAAATAAACATAGTGATTGTTAATTTTTTATGCTACAGCTACGCATAAAAGTACTAAAATACTTAGAACTTTAAATTACTTTAATATTCAACTGTATATATTATTATAACTTTTCTCGTTTTATACTATATTTAAAAAATAATATTTAATAATTACTTTATTGCACTTACAACTATGCATATGTATTTAATACTGTAACCATTTAAATAATAAAATATATATATAATTACTGTGTATGAAATTAATACATTCAAAATAAAAAAAGTACATATGCAAAAATAAACTCTATAAAATCTATAAATAAACGTAATAATAATAAACTGTGCAATAAACGTAATAATAAACGTTCAAATATTTTATTTATTATATATTAAAATTATTATATTTAATAACCTGTCCTTTTCTTGTTTAGATCTCCTCATTTTCGCATCTCTTTTTTTGTTCTTCCTTTTTCCTAAAAAGAAATATGTGATTGTTATACATAGGTGCAATAAGTCAATTCTGCAATAAATATTCTATACAAAAATAACAATAAGTTCTTAAATGTTGTATTTAATTTAAAAAAACTAATACACGCAATAATGAACAGATAGTGCATGTGTTCACCCTCTTTAAAATCAGTTTCTTATAAAAATAAAAAGTTTGAGATAAGATGATA